GAGCGCCGCCACACTCCCAAGCGGCGCACTGTAGCAGTGCGCCACCGGGCCGGCCCTATAGCCAAATTTTTAATACCTCGAGCAAAAACTATTCTGAACTTTATTCACAGGAACTGTCTTTCTTATCTTAATATTCTCCCAGTACCTAACATAATGTACAGCACACCAAAACTTGGGGAGGGGTAAGGAATGGGGGTTGCCAGCTTCTGCTGGAAGAAAAATCTGGTTAAATTACTGGTAAATTAAATATCTAATCTTTAAAAATCCTTTAAAATAAAAAAAATAAAAGCTACATCATTGAAAATTAATTACAAGCACTGCAATTTGATATCATTTTTGTGCATTCTTATTGTATAATACTGATAGCTTTCTTCAAAAAAAAAAAAGGCTTATTTCTTTTCTTTGGAAAATAATTCTGAATATAGGCTACCTTTGAGCATCAAATATTTGCCAGATAATTTACAAAGGGTTGTAAACCCTTTCTTTGGAAAATAAGCATAGTTTTTAAATGGCATATCTCTTTTACTGCCAAATACAGAGATACATAAGTGAACTACAGATCATCTTGAAAACCATTACTACTTCAAGTGTAACCAACAACTTTTTCCCAAACAACCACTTTCCCTTCACTAAGTTAATACAATCTTCACTTACCCCACTAACTTCCTAGCTCATGATGTGATTCTCTGATGCTTGCCCATGTGTCTAACCACCTGTGGTTCAAACACTTGCAATATCAAACAAAAGGCAAAATAGAGTTCATGAACCAAGACAGAGCCCATCAAGACTTCTTATTTGGTTGTATATAATATTCCTAGAGTATGATAATCTGGGAGGATACTCCCTAACAAGAATGAATGGAATCCATTAAGGAAACCTACAGTTCCTTGCTAAGGAAGGAAACATATTTTACTTCACAGATTCTCCTTATTTTATTCACATAACAAGTCAAGTGTTAACAAGTAATATTACTCTCACAGTTTAATAGGAAAGCTAAATGTGTAAAAAAATGACTGCAATTCCCTGTGACACATACTGTAATA